ATAAATAGATAAATAGTTTTATTTATACTTTTTTGGTTGAGATTATTAAATATAATAACTTGTTAGATTGAAGAAGAAGAGGAACCTAACCAAGATTTATTTTAGATTTAATAATTAAATAGGTGCAAATATGAATAACTTGTATTTTCTTTTTTATATCAATTCGAGATATGTATAATTATATTAAAAAAGTATAAATAAATTCTTTTATCTAATAGATTTATTAAAAAAATATTATGAATATGTTATGAAATAAAATAAGTTAATGATCTTTTGGGTTATCGATATAAATATACATGGTATTAAAAAATTTCTTTTCAAAATTGAACAATTTAACAATGTTCAAACGATTGATATGTTTATTGAAAAAAGAAAAAGAAGAATCGAATGATTCAAAAGAATATGAAAAGGTGTTTGTTTTTAAAAATATAGGAATTCAAGAAATACGTACTACATTTTTAAAAATTATCGAGCTGAATGTTCCAAGGTTTTCTTATCTTAATTTATTTTATGATGATTACTGTGGAATAACTGCTTCTTATTTGAATGAATTTCCACCTGCTTTAGCAGTAGCTTCATTCATTTCTCAAAATATTGATACATTTTCAAATATGTTGGTGAAATATAATATAAAGGTTAATATTCGAAGTAGAGCTAGATGTATATCAATTGAAGATATTACATTACCAACAGAATCAGCAATGGGATATGGTAAAGGTCATAAAAATGAGACACGTGAAAAGTTTGATGAAAGATTATGTGAATATAATAATAATATTATTTATTGGCGAAGTGCAATTAGTATATTGTATCACATAATTAAAAATTCTTTTATGTATAAGTATAAGTTTGTTTAATAAATAAATATATATATAAGGGACCATGGTGAAAGAAAAAAAAAAAAATAAGAAAAAAAAAATAATAACAAAATGACTAATGAAATTTCAGATGTGAATAGTAAGATTATTATAAATAATAAGGCAAGTAATTTATTGCTTGTTTAGTTTGAAGTTACGCTGCTATAGGAATGGTTGAAGTGTATTCTGAATCCTATTATGGGTGAGGGTATATTCGTCCTATCTAAGAACAATCAATTAACCCAAAGAGATATCTGAGGGATCTTAACCAATTTGATTAATGAAGGGTTCTCAACGAGGTTTGATTCTACACATTGGTGAATAAAACTAATTGATATATTTTAGATTTCAGGACATAAATTCGAATATCAAGTGAAGAATTTTCTTGATAATAGTGGAATATTAGCTAATATTATCCAATGTGTCCAAGGTGATGGTGGGGTTGATATATTGGTATCATATAATAAACAATTGTTATTAATTCAATGCAAAAGCATAATAAGAATGATTGGTATTACTTATTTGAAGAATTTGAAAGCTTCTATCGATCAATATAATAATTCTTTTGGAATTTTGGTATATAATGGAAAAAAATTGAGAGAAAGTAAATTAAGACCAGTTTCTTGAAATGTGATGAATTATTTAAAGACTATCGGTAATATTGGGGTGATTGATGATGATGGATTGGTTGAATATATTAAAACTAAATTTGATTCTGTAATCTTAAATGTTGAATATCTTGGAGTTGAGGCAGATGAAATTATTATCAAAAAAAATGGAAAAGCAATATATAAAAATTTTAGAGCTGAAAGTATTAGATTTAAACCTTATTGATTAAAAAATCATGATTTAAGATTACGTGTTTATAATATTATTTAAATAATTTTTGTCATTATTTTTTGATGTAATGATATATTTTCATAATATGATAAATTTTTGAGTCATAATTTTATAATTATTGTTATAATTTTTATAATTATCATCATTATTTTATAATTATCGTGTCATTACAATTATTGTCATGATTTTATAATTATCGTTATGATTTTATAATTATCATGTCATTACAATTATCATCATTATTTTATAATTATCATATTATTATCATGATTTTATAATTATCGTCATTATTTTATAATTATCGTGTCATTACAATTATCGTCATGATTTTATAATTATTGTTATAATGAATTCAAAATGTATTTTCATAATTATTGTCATGTTTTCATAATTAATTAATAAATGTTAATTAATTTTGATGTCATTATTTTAATATGTTATAATTATCGTCATAATGAATTCAAAATGTGAAGACATATTTTCATAATTATTGTCATATTTTCATAATTAATTAATAAATGTTAACGTCATTATTTTTGAGTATTTTATAATTATTATTATAATGAATTCAAAATATGAAGACGTATTTTCATAATTGTTATGATTTCATAATTAATTAATAAATGTTAATTAATTTTGATTTACGTCATTATTTTATAATTATCATCATCAAATGTAATGATTTTTTTTTATATAAAAAGATTGAATTTTCCGTATAAATAATGTAATGGATAATGTTCAAAAAACCCAAGATACTTGTGAACAAAGCGAAATATCTTTAATATCTTTACAACGAAATTCCAAGGAGCATTCAAGAAGCCACAGATCACATTCACAAGATGATTATCCAAGAAGCCACAGATCACATTCACGAGATCCAAGTAATCGACGGTCACATTCATGGGGTCATCAAAGTTGTCATTATCGACATAGGCGAAATGGGTCTCGACATAGACGAAATTCAGATCGCGAAGAATCTCAACATGGTCGTAAAAGTCAACATTCTCAATTTGTATTAGAATTTAGAAGAGATAAAAGTGTTGACGATAAATCAATTGAAGAAATTGATCGTAAAATAATGGATATTCGGGGAGTGATGAGATGTTTAAAAGAAAGGGCGGCATATCTTAGAAAAGAAAAAAATAAAAGAAGAAGGCATGTGATTAGTCAACAATTAGTTGAATGTTTAAACAAATTAGAAAATCTTGAATGAAAAAAAAATAAATAATAAAAATAAAATAATAAAAAAAAAAATATAAAAAAATAATATAATAATATAAAGAATTAAAAAAAAAGAAAGTTGAAGAGAAGGAGCAGAGAATCTTGAATGAAAAAAAATAAAATAATAATAAAAAAAAATATAAAAAAAATAATATAATAATACAAAGAATTAAAAAAAAAGTTGAAGAGAAGGAGCAAAGAATATTAAAAATAATATAAAAAAATTATTAAAATTATTTGTTTATTTATTTTATTTTAGATTCAATCAATGATATTTTTTTTTTTTCTTATTCTTCTTGAAGAATAGAAGAAAAATTCAGAAGAAAATTCAGAAAATTAAACTGAAAAAAAAAAAAGAAAAAAAAAAAAAGAAGAAGATATAATAAAAAAAAGTTGAAATATTTTATTGATTTAAAGTAAAATAAATATATATATAGTTGAAATTTCTTTAATTTAAATGGAAAAAAATGTTATCATCTGATAAAGTTTTTAATATACCAGAATTAAATACGTTAATATATTTTTACTTAAATGATATTTTTGATCATTTGAGATATAGATTAGTATGTAAATGTTTTAAAAATATTAGTGATACATATGGAAAAATTATTTTATTTTCTGTTTATTTGGATTCTACTTTTTGTGTAAATTTTAATTTAGAAGAATCCTTTAAAATTATTTCAAAAGAATTGATATTGGATAATTGTATAAATGGTTTTAAACCTTTATCTTTTATTGTTCGATTTAAAAATTATAATATTAATCAAAGATTAGAAATTGTGGATGATTGTGATATGGGGATTTATTGTTGTAATGATCCTAATAATTTGGAAAAAAAACTTTTTTTGAATACAAAAAATTTTATTAAAGATTATGGTAAAGGGTACTGTGAGGATTGTCAAAAATATACGTATGTTTATTCGGGTAAA